GGGGGGGGCTTGGAGGTGGGTCGGGTCAGGCGTGAGGCCCTGGATGTCGTGTCCCTGTCGCTCCCGAGGGCAGCATTTGGGGTGCTGCCCCTCGGACCACTGCACCCGGTCCGTCCTGCCGTGCTGGTCAGTACAGCAGCATCTTACCTGTCGGCGCTACCGTTAAGGTAAAAAGACAATCCACTAAGACAACCATGAGTCATCATGCCACCGTTGTCAGTAAGTGAAGTGATTACACTCTGGCATTATTCCCAGGGAAACAGTTTGTAGCTTTCACCTAATAAGTAAAACTCATTAGGTGATCTCAAGCATCCCAGCATCTACCGTTGCACAAGACGGAGGGGGCTTTAGTACAGACTCACCCTTTAAAAGCTAACCAGCACCAGGCCTGATGTGACATGGCAATATTATCATCCTGCTATTTAGCAGCACTTTGAGTGTGTTGATGCATGTGTCTGCTATGCTTGCCTTCTGGTCTGTATCCATACAGTGGTGTTCCCCGGTCAAGAGGCTAAGCAGTGCCACTCAGCAAGGAACAAGCTCATTGTTTCCCTCCTGCCCCACCAGCCAGGAGACAGGATATCTAGCCTCAGGCACACTTCACTCAGTAACATCTCCTGAACTAGACTCAATTCATGACCTGCTGTCCATGCTCAATCCGAGTCCTCCAAATCACATAGTTCTCCTCAGACTCAGCTCCTATTATCTCGGATATGTTTCAATTCCTGCTTACATACTAAGTTCATTAAGCCAGCCTTTCCTGATCTCTTCCACTTGTAAGCCATCTCTGCTTGGATCACGGTGAATCTTGTATTTCTACCAACTGCCCTTGCAGTTTTGTGGAATACAGCTAGGAGTTCATGGAGTATTGCAGCTACTGTAAAAAAGGGAGAGGGAGTAAAAGCATTTCTTACCTTAATAGGCAATTATGATATTCAGGAAATAAAGATACAAAAGGTTGATAGTAGCCATGTGCTTCTCAAGTAGTGCCACTACTTTTTTCAGTCTGATATTTGGACAACCATGAAAATTTGAGGTAGCACAACAATAGGTTGCTTCAGCTGCCCTCACTGCAGTTCCATTAGCACCAGCCATAGTGAACAGGAACTTGAGGGGAAGGTAGACTTTCTCTGTTACAGATTAAGTGTTGATTCACTGCCAAACATGAAATTGCAAGAATATATAGAGTGCCAACACTACGTGAACATATATTCCAAGAAGTACCACGGCCTCTGAATTGACCCCTATTTATCACAATGTAGTAAGTTACAACTGGCTAACTGTTAATTGTAAAAGGAGATACATTTATTACAACCTTTTGAGTAATTCATAGGTGAATGTATGCAGAAACGTTCTTTATTGGTGCTCAGAGCACAATGTTTTTGATATGCCCAATTTGTTTCCAGTTTGAATACTACAGAACTGCTCCTGGTAAAAGCCAGCTTCATTGTTACTGGAACTTTTTTCTGCTTTCTAGCTAGACTGTACCTGATATGATATTTGGAATCATAGAATCATTTGGGCTGGAAGGGACCTTTAGAGGCCATCTAGTCCAACTCCCCTGCGGTGAGCAGGGACATCTCCAACTAGGTGAGGTTGCTCAGAGCCCCATCCAGCCTGACCTTGAATGCCTCCAGGGATAGGGCTTCCACCACCTCTCTGGGCAACCTGTTCCAGTGCTTCACCACCCTCATTGTAAAAAATTTTTTCCTTATGTCAAGTCTAAATCTACCCTCTTTTAGTTTAAAACCATTACCCCTTGTCCGGTCACAGCAGACCCTGCTAAACAGTCTGTCCCCATCCCTCATATAGGCCCCCTTCAGGTACTGGAAGGCCGCAATGAGGTGACCCCAAAGCCTCTTCTTCTCCAGACTGAACAACCCCAACTCTCTTAGCCTGTCTTCATAGGAGAGGTGCTCCAGCCCTCGGATCATTTTCATTGCCTTCTGGACCTTCTCCAACAGGTCCATGTCTCTCCTGTGCTGAGGGCTCCAGAGCTGGATGCAATACTCCAGGTGGGGTCTCACCAGAGCAGAATAGAGGGGCAGAATTACCTCCCTCAACCTGCTAGCCACACTTCTCTTGATGCAATCACTGAGCAATTTTAGCTGGAGTTCCAAGAAACAGAGTGTCCTGTTTGTAGGGTATTAAGGAGAATTAAGTGATAGCTGGTCTCCCTGGGCAAAAAGAAACAGTACAACTTTCTCATGGGCATTTCTGGAAGTCCTGCTCTGTGCCAGGTTTAGGATACCTGGACCTCAGTTTTTGATATCCTGCAAAGAAAGCCAGTATGGCATCCTGTCTACTTCATTCCTTTAGTCTTCAAATGCTATTTGCACTAACAGGCTAGACTAAAGTATTGTCTCTTGTTGCTCAAAAATGGGTCTCAGCTCAAGGATACCATTGATGCTTTCTTCAGTCCCTTGAAATTAACTGATCTGCAGTAATAATTCTTGCAGTAAAACGAAGGGGTAAAATTGGACCCAAAGGTGAAATATGAAAAAAGTTTGATTGCAGCTAGGGACCAGAAAGAACTGAGCTTCATTCCAAGGATGATAAAAATCAGCTGATGAATTAGACTTTTCCTTCTAGCAGCTCTTACCTATACTCAAGGAATAGTTAGAGATTTTTCTTTGTTGTTTTGAGCAGCAGATAGTGCAGATGCAAAGTTTACTTCATTTGCACATGAAGTTACATCCACTTTAGTTTGACATTTTATGACAGTCTGAGCTGCATCCCCAGCCTAGCTTTACATTGGGGACCTTTCAAGCAGAACAATGTGCTTTCTTGATAAATGTAATGTGATCGATGCATTATTTCAGTTTCGATCCAATTTGGTGATTTATGTTCATGGGCAATGCTGTCTTGTAATAAGAGTCAGAGTTTAAAAGCCTGATAGGCCACAAGTTTGACTGGTTGACCTCAGGTTCTGTAATTCAAGGCAGTATCTCATATACACTGCCTCCAGTACAGTAGCATGTAAAATATTTTACCTCTTCCAAAGGCAGAAGAACTCTGCTAAATATAGCTATGAGTGCCAAGGCATGAGTCACTACAATTACCTTCATGAGAACAATTAAATTGATTGTTGAACTGTTTTCTTTCCTGTTGTATCTAAAGAACTTTGTTTTTTATAGGAAAACATATTTGATCGATCCAGGATGGCCCCAAAGACTCCCATTAAGAATGAACCAGTTGACTTATCAAAGCAAAAAGGCTGCACCCCAGAAAGAAACCCAATTACACCTGTTAAGCTTGTTGACAGACCTCAGCCTGATCCCTGGACCCCCACTGCTAACCTGAAGATGCTCGTTAGTGCTGCTAGCCCTGACATGAGGGACAGGGAAAAGAAGAAAGAACTCTTCAGACCCATAGAAAACAGTGAGCAGAGTGACACACCCGATTCATTACAGGTGAGACTCAGAACATGATTACCTTATGTTCAGTTAGGACTCAGACCTTCCTTCACTTGTGCCTCAGTTTTCTTCCAACTGGTCCTTTGCCCCCTATTGAAAACTGCAGAAGTGTAAAACATTCCCGAGGACAGTTACCTACACAGCACTAGCTGAGCAGTAGGACTTTTCAAAGACTAAAAGTAACTGTCTTACTGGTAACTGACCTGAGACGCCTCAAGAGCCTGAATATTACTTCAAAGGACGCTGAAGGAAGTAGATCTTAAATAAGTCATTTTCTGCAGCTTAAGTACTTCTGACACTTTTCTGAACCACATTAGAAAGAAAATTACCAGATCATTTTTAAACAGACAGGCAGCATTTTCAAAAGCAATATGACAATGGGAGGGTGTATTTTTCAGTGTACTTTTGAACTTTCAGTATACCTTGTCCACAACAGCCTTGAGGAGTGATCAGTTGAAACTTTTCTCCCCTTTCTACCCCAGCCCCCAAACTATTAGCTAGACAGCATAGTCAAGTGTTAGGAAGACTTTTACTCAGGCAATGTGAGGGCTGATCCCTGTCCTTGCTTTAGGAAATCTATCCATGGAGAGGATGACGTGAGGTTGTAATAAGCATCATTACAGTTTTCTTCCTTCAGACCTTTTTTGTTCCAACCACTGTTTCCCCTCTCCTGGATTATTTCTTGTAGAATGTCCTTCCTTGGTGATTTCAGTGCAAGGAAGATAGTTCTGGGGTCCTCTTACTGAGAAGCGTCATTTGATAGGTTCAGATCACTCTACAAGCATAGATTTTACAGCATCTACAGTGACAGTAGTCTGGAGAATTCTCCAATTTGTATAGTCATAAAGGAACAAACAGTTCTCTAAAGATAATTTCACATAGCTTCCAGTAAGTAAAAATAGTCAATGTTAAAGGTTCGTTTATTACCATTCCAAGCCTGCTAAGATCATATAGCATTTTTGGGGTGGCTACTATAAAGAGTTCAAATATTTTCTAGTTAATAAAACTTACACTCAATAACTTTCTCCATACAGAAAGTTAACTTACAAAAGATGTAAAAGTGTTACTGTAAGAATACCGTTCTATTTCCATACCATATAAAAGTCAAATAATTCAGTCAGAGCAACAGCCTGCCACAAGGTCAGTTAGTCACAGCCAGCAAAGGACAGTTAAGATCTCATAAGCAAGGAAACATGGGTTTTGGCAGCTGGCACCTCTCAGCTTTTCTTTGCCAGAGAGCAAGATAATTTTCTTTTCCTTTTTTGACACAGAAGCAAAACCCCAAAGTTACCAGTGCAGAAAAATCCTCCATCATTCTCATTTTGCAATAAACATACCTCTTCATACATTCTTGCCATCACAGTTTTCTTGGGTTTTTTCCCCTGCAGGGACAGAAAGACCATATTCAGGCCATCCTACAGAGTTCACTTCAGCTAACAGCTTGACTGAGTTTAAGATTCAGAGACTGGGCGGTGCCTTTTATAGTCTTGTTAGCATCACTCCCACCTCCTGATTTCTTAAACTTAGAGGCACTGTAAAGCACAGTAAAATCTCTTGAAAAAGGTTTTGCAGGAACTCTGATGGCTTGTACATCTTCTGGTTTATTAGATCCAGAGGTGTTTGATATTCCTCCTCCTCTCAAAAAGAAATATTCTTTCCAAGTAGGATCTTACCATCTGCTAGTCTTGGGTGTTTGGTCTTACCATTTTGTTTCCTTATGCATAACCATTCTTTTATGATCTCACAGATAAGAGTTTTTCTGTAGATACCTTATGTGATGAATTAAAAAGAGCTTGCAAGCAAAAGTGTGTCACCCAAGTGCTCTCTGCTTGCAAGGAGTCCATGTATTTTTCCTTATTGGAAAGTCCAAGCTTAAATATCATCATCATCATGTGAAGTATGCGTCACTTGGCTATGCTTGCTTCTAAAGCTCTGCACTAAAGGGTTAACATTTATTTTTTAACAGTATGATATGGTAGACGACAGCACGGTTGATGAATTTGAAAAGCAGAGGCCCAGCAGAAAACAGAAAAGCTTAGGACTCTTGTGCCAAAAGTTTCTAGCTCGCTATCCAAGTTACCCGTTGTCAACAGAAAAAACTACTATTTCTTTGGATGAAGTGGCTTCAGTTCTTGGTATGTATACCTGCAAAAATGGGCTAACTGATCACCTGGGGTAACCCAACAGGAGGGCCTTCAAAAGATCATCCTGCTTACAGAGTACGTTCAAAATCTGCATTTCCCTGGGTCTGGATGCTCTTCTAATCGTACTAATCAAGAGTTGGAAATGCTTAATATTCCTAAGTGTCTTTACTGCTTGATAATACTATCATTTCGAAATCTGCTTTCTGACAGTACTTTTTACTGGACAGATCTATCCTCCAGCTGTTTGCTAATTTCTGCTTTCTTAAATTTTCAATTTGCTGAACACTGAAGGAGTTATGAGTTACAAACCTTCTGAAGACGGGCTTATAAACAACAAATTTTGTCAAAATGGAATGTTTGGGGGAACAATTGCAAACTAGTAGGTGTAGGAAATTAGTTGGGTTTACTGCCTGACTTCAGTCGTGTGCCTGACATTATATCTTCCAAGGTGTCATGATTCATCAAGGTTATCTTAGCTTTAAATATTGTCTTGTGAGGGGAGGTTACCAGGAGACATGCAAGAGTAGAATGAGAAAATGTGTTGTATTGAGGTGGCGAGAAGGTATCAAGTAGCCTGTTTGCTGGGTCTGCTGTTAGGTTTGGTCTCAGTTAAAAGATTAATGAAATATCTGAAAGAAGTAATAAAACTTGGAAGAGAGGACTCAGCCAGGTCACACCAATAACAAAAAGATCCAGGTCTTTGGAGAGGTGGTCTCTTAGCTAGGAAGGGCTTTACAAAATTGGATTTAAACTAAATAAATATTGTATCTACATTTAGAACTCAGATATTTAACAGAGGTAGCAAAAATGAAAATTGTCTGGTTTGGGAAGGAAGGGAACAAGAGAGTGATGTCCTCTGTGACTCTACTAAGAAAGTCCTTGAAATACTTATTTATTTGCTTTGGTAATGAGATGTGGAAATAGGAAAGAATTCAGATGAAGTAAATAGTTAAATAAACTACTTTTTAAATGAATTATTCTTTTCGATTTTGCAATTACTCCTTTCTGTGTTTGCATGAGATGCTCATGCTCCGACCTTGTACAGTGGAACATAATGCTTTATTCTGTATTGGGAGTGGCGTCACTTTGCTTTCCTAAATACTAGAAGCTCTGTTTTAAAAGTTACTGTTGGGATTTTACCTCCCGGAAGGGGAGGTGTTTGTTCTTCTCCCTTTGGTTTTCACTTCCTTGCTTGCCTGTGTCCACTTGCTTCAGGGACCACAGAATTATTCACTGCTAATGTTGCTGCTCTCTGTGTAACAAATTACGGTGGTAATACAGCTTTTGCTACAAATGTATATTGCTTTGTTCACTGATGACCTATGGAAAGACCACAAAGCAGGCTATGCTACTGGTGCCTGACAGACACCAGGATATGTGTAGCAGTCTTGTTTTTCTGGAGTATCTTTCACTCCAAATTCTCCACACACTTGGAAATACTCATGAGTTGTTTATCACAATATCCCTTTAAGGCTGGTAAGTATTATCAGTATTCTCCAGATGGGTAAACAGATGCATCAAGGCCTTGCCTTTTTCAAGGAAGTCTTTCAAAACCTTTCCCCTTGGCAAGCACTTGTTCTGCTCAGCTGATGTTAAACATTATAGGATCTCTGGTGCAGATGGTGCCACCAGCATATAGTGCACTGCATTATATGTAGCAGCCATGCTTCAAACAGCGCTGGACACGAGTACTTAGAACAGTGAGCCGAGCCACCAGGCCTGTTCATATTCAGCCCCAACTGTGCTCACATCAGTCAGGCTGAACCCAAGTTGGACATATTCCATAGATTTCCCATTGGTGCAGACCCAGCCAGCACAGTGGACTGGTTTCTGCTGCGTTTGGGAACAGCGGGTCTCATTCTCCACTGCTGTGCACCTTGTGAAGCCTTTGATGCTCCTATGCTTGGTACGTGCTTAGCAAGTAATTGTGCCGTTGGAAATGCAAGTGGAGGAGCACACTCGGCCTGGTTCCTGCAGGAGTGGGCTTTTATGTCTGCCCCGTGTCAGTGTCAGGCTCAGACCCTTTCCTGCTCTCTGTTACACACAGGCTTGTGTACAGGTATGTGTCTGAGCTCTGAAACTCTCTGACAAGAAGGGTCAATGTGCTCTGAAAACCTCAGGGCAGTCTGGATAGGTCCGAGTGAGTGGCGCTGGGCAGACTGCAATCAGTTCTTCTAAACACAGTGTAGGTGCTTTAAGCTGAAGCCATGGCTGGGCCATCAGTTAAGAAAATGGACAAAGAGCATCATACCAGGGGGCTGGCCGTACATAATCAGTTCTTAATTGTGCAATATGAATGGATCTAACGTAATGTGTCCAGTGAAAAATGTGTTGCGAACACTCAGTATTGGAGAATAGACTGTTCTCTGTTCCACTTCTGCTGAAGAGCACGTTAAAACTAGATGAGCATCTGTGTCTTTTTTTATTTCCCCACCCTTAAAACAGGAGTTGAGCGGAGACGAATTTACGATATAGTGAATGTCCTGGAGTCATTGCACTTGGTTAGCCGTGTGGCCAAGAACCAGTACTGTTGGCATGGCCGGCATGACCTCAGTCAAACTCTGAAAACGCTTCAGGAAGCAGGAGAGCTGCAGTATGGAGAGCTAATGACCTTCTTCCAGCACAAGGAGCAGGACTTGGAGTACAAATTTGGAGAACGGAAAAAGGAAACTATTCCAGATTCTCAAGACAGACCATTACTGGACTTTTCAGAACAAGATTGCACCTCTGGTAAGATAACTAATGTGTGTGATGTGATACACGGACACAAGTCTCTCTTTCCAGTTTACTCTGACTTTTTCCCTTGCTTTTCTTTTAAATGATAAAAAAATCTTTCTTTGCAAAAAGGTGCTGAATTCACCACAGAGGTGACAGAATTCTTCCTTCTGTCCTGTCCCCAGCACAGGTCTCAGGACAGATTTTTCCCTCTGTCCTACAGACTGGCAGGAACTTCTGCCAGATACCCCAGTTCTTTCGCCACCCCTACCTGGCGGTAAATGCTTTACCCTGACAGAAGGTGCCATCTTCCATTTGTCCACTGTTTGCATGCTGCCCGTATAGTACATAGGGTTTTAAGTTACGAGGTCCACTGGAGCCACAAAATTAGTGGCGCAAAACTATGTAGCGTAACATAGAATCAGGTTTGGAATCTGATTCTCTAAAAGCTATCTCTGCAAACTTTAATTTTTACCTGCCTTTTGAAGTGAGACTTCTGTCTGCGTTACTCAGTTATTTCAAAATTTTGAAATTACTCAGTAATTTCAAAAAATTTCTGCTTCCCAACAAGGAAAAACTTTACCCCTTTTGTGTGTGAGAAACCTACTTGCTAGTTTTCTGGCTGTGATGGATGACATATGCTAAGAGGCTTGGGTATCATTTGTAACACAGCATCTGCAAACAGCAGAAAGGACAAGTCGTTGCGGATTATGAGCCAAAAGTTTGTCATGCTGTTCCTTGTCTCCAAGACCAAGACAGTCACTCTGGACATCGCAGCAAAGATACTGATAGAAGAGACCCAGGATACGGTGGACCACAGCAAATTTAAAAGTAAGCTGGCTGTTGAGAGGCAAATTGATCAGTCAGTGAGTAAAGAAAACGGGGGCATGTTTGGACTGACACCAGTAGGTAACAGCAAGAGCAGGTCAGGAATCTTTTGCTGAAATATGGTTTGGGGTTTTTCGACTGCAAATGCCAGTTTGTGAAAACAGAGCTTGGGGTGGAAAGAGTCAATTTTACAATTATCTCCAAGTTTTAGCTCCAGAATGAAGAAAAATCTTTTTTGTTTGAATTTTTTTCATACTTTAACCCTGTTTCCTGTACCGTTCTGAATGATGTTTCAGAACTTATTGAAATGAAACAGGTTGTTTAATTCAATGGAATTCATTTTCTTCTCTGCAGAAATGTGTTACTCCTTTTACCCTGGAAATCTTTCACAGCTGGATAGCACAGTTTGCTTTTCAGTTAGCGGGGATTAGTAGTTCAATACGTTGGACAACATGGAAAAACTCAGCATTAGTAAATAATTCTTCTAAAAAAAACCCTGACTTTTATTTTAAGTCTTTAAAGTACTTTTAAAATAAAGTACTTAAAATTCTTCCCCAAATACCGGGAAGGATGTGAGGAGTTTAGCTGGACAATCTGTGGGTATCATTTTCAGCTCAAACATGTTATTTATTGGAGTCACAGAGATTTTTCTGAGTGTTATATTTTTAAGATGATAAATATGTGTCCTCTTGTGATCAGCTGTGCACTCATGTGCCTTTTGCCCCCAAGTGCTTGTCTTTACCCCACATGGAGTTAGCTGCCTTTCCTGGGCAAGCTGATGAGGTAATCACTCCCCAACCTATTTCCATCAAAATGAGGTAGGTGAGCTAAGATGGTTGAGCAGCTAAGATACGAAGAAGCAGTGACAAGCAGGTGGGAGCTGGTATGGCAGGCTTCATAGGAGGTGGCTTAAGTCCATCCCAATTGGTTTTTCCCACCTCGTCTGTGAAAGCTGTGGTGATATTCTGGAATGAAATTACCATGTAAATATGTACTGTATGCATTGTAAGCGTGACTGTCTTGACTACTTCTGCCCTTTCTTGTTAGCAAAGGTACGAAGACTGTATGATATCGCCAATGTTCTCACCAGCCTAGGCTTGATCAAGAAAGTTCATGTCACAGAGGAACGAGGACGCAAACCAGCCTTCAAATGGATTGGGCCTGTGGAATTCCCTGGAAAGACCGGTAACTTGTGTAGCTCGCATCTCTTTCCTTTTTGCTTTGGCAGTCCCTTCCCAAGTGGTAAAAGGTTGTTTTCCATGCGTAAAGAACGGCTTGGCATTCATTGTCCACCCTGTGATTATTAACTGCTGGCCAGGTCAACATCTGCCCTTGTTAGACTTTACGCTCAAGGGCTGGAGCTGTGGAGGGATGTTGAAGGATACTGTGTCTTGCTGGTATTTTTACACTGATTTACATAATAACTGTATGATTTGTAGAGCAATGGCAGATAATGCCTACATCTCCAAATCTGCTTTTCCGGGTTGCAAAATCTCAGTAATTCTGTCATAATTACACAGTGAATTACTTTCTGTGTACGAAGACTTACCAAGGTAGAGCAGGGCTGTTTCTTGCACGTGTCCCCTCGTACAAAAGGTTTGTCTGCAAAGAAGGAGGCGGTGGGCCAGAGCATCTCTGTAAGCTGCTGATTCTTGGCTAGAAGCCAGAGCAAAGGGAAGCCCTTTGGTAATGTATTTGGGTCAGGCCAGGGCCAGGACCAAATAAAAGTGAAGGATAGTGTTAATGCCATCTTAGTACCCTTTCTCCTCCTGGCTATGCACACTAGAATGTAGCTGCTGCTGCAGCTGCCATGGAATGGAAAGGAGGGAAGCCCTTATCTTGTCTACCAATGCTTAACTGAGCTTAGGTCTGCTTCAGTGTTGTGGGGTTTGCGATGGTATAGAGGTTACCTCTTCTCTTATGGTAAAGTTTGGTAACGTGGCAGAAGACTAAATGATGACCTGTGTTCCCTGAAGGACTGTTGTACAAAATTATGTTCCTACAGGTGAGCTGAGAGAGCGTAGCCCAACATCTGATCCTGTGCCAGGGACACAGAGAGGAGCCTGTGCCCCATATCAAATCTGTGCTACTGGAAAGCAAAGGTTTACACGTCACGCTTCATTTAACGGCGCACAGCCTTGTGAAGGGACCAGAAGGAAGGTCAGTTCTGAGCCCAACAGCCCACGCCAAGAGAGGCAAGGTAACTACTAATGAAGCATGTTCTTTTGTATCCCACTGATTCTGCCCAAATGTGGGCCCACCAATTTAAGGCACTTGATCAGCCTAATTAAATATGTGAATTACTCTTGGGAGGTGCCTATACTTCTACTGTTCATGTGATGAGACTTCTGTTTTGGGTTCTCCAGTCAAGCACCTACAGTTAGATGAGATCAGTCTGGGCCATACTGCCTTGAATCTGCAGCTTGTTTTCTGGTAAATGTTTCTGTTCTCCACTAACTGCAGCTATACTACAGTTTCTTCTGTTAAAATTCGGCATAGGTGAAGATTCTTTAGCCACAAAAGCTTCCTTTATTTTATGGTTCCTACTAATATAGTGGAATTTACTGTAGCAATCTAACGGATAGCTGTTAAAAAAGATAAGGCAATTACAGGGCTTTTCACAATTCCATCTTATACGAAATGATGTCAGGCATCTCTCCGGTGGGACTTGGAGTTCTGAATGTCTTGCAGGTTCTGGCTTTGGGTGATTAGTGGATGTTATAAAAATGTGCCAGGATAGAAAAATTATACCAATTATTTTATATGGCCAGTATCAAAATATGCTTGGTAAACCTACCTGTTATTAATTGAATGCTCCTTTGTTCTTTCAGCCTGTATTGTGAATTCAGATGAATATTGCTCCAAAATGATAAATCTGGCAGCCGTCTGCAGGCAGAAAATAGAGGAAGATACTAGGTAGGTTGGTCTTAACTCCTGCCCAGCTTCGTGCTTGTCATGTTTAGTTCAAGGCTAGACTCCATTGATGAGACTGAGATAGAAAATTGCCAGAGAGTCTCATTATTACTGTTTTAGCGCTGATTGATAGGTCTCAGCATGGCTTTTTTGGTTTTTTTCCATGGCCAATTTATACACACCTGTACTTGTACCACTGTTGTCCTTGAAGTAGTTCAGTAGTTCTTCATATCATGTGTGTTTGTATAGGTCAGCCCTGCCTCCCTTGACCTGTTGTCTAGGTAGGCTGAGCGAATCTCTGGAAGAGCCTCTCTGCCATATCAGTGGGTCTTCTCTACTCCTGTCCTAATTTGAATTCATTTGTGAATGATTGACTCTAGTCAAGTGCAACCAAAAGCATTATTGTTCTGCCAAAAAACTGATAAGTCAGCTTCTGTGTAATTAGAAATAATAAAAAGTGACTCTCCTTGTAAACTGTGTAAAAGTAGTGGTTTGGGGGGGGGGGATTTTCCACATTTATGTCCAGCAATGTACCTATTTGCTTTTAAGGATAAAATAGGGGTTTAATTTTGGACTAAATGTTTTTTCTCCTTTTGCTTTTCACTACTTTTTGTTTTTTTAGGAATAAAACTTGTGCCACAGAAAAGATACTAAATTCAGCAAGGAACCCAAGCATAACCTCACCGCCCTCCCTTCTTCCAGTTCCTGGGGACTCTGATTTTTGTGTTAACCCTTTGCCTCAGGCAGTTTTCCCTGTGGTTCAGACAGATGTGCCAAGCCTGTCATTGCCAAATGGTATCAGCAGCCAAGCTCCACATCCTTCCATGCTAGCAGCCTCCAAAGCAGAAAATGGAAAACCCAGCCTGCTCCCCAACCAACCCTTCCTGTGCTTCCCATCTTCACCCCTTCTTATGTTGTGCAGTGGTCTTCAGGAAAATAACTTGAGGGAGACCCTGTCCACCACAGGAGATGGAGGAAACAGGAGTGCAGAAGCTCAGGCTGCCATACCTCCAGCTGTCTGCCAGAAACGCAGCTCCCACAAGTGTGCATCGCCCTCTGCACCTGCAGATGATGAAGAGCCAGCTGCTAAAAAGCAGACCATGGAACAGAGTGATCTGCCCCTCTCACTTGTAGTACCCAAGGTAAAGAAGTGAATTTCATTATCACTTAGGCTTCCTGCTACCGAGGAAAGACTTTTGTCCAAGACAGTGTGTTCAGAAGTGAAAATTTACTACACCACTCTTGTTACAGATACAAATGCTGCCTCCCACATGTTAATAAAATTGTAAGGGGGCTGTGTCAGGAAGTATAGGCATTAAATGGGAGATGTTTTCACACTTCCGGGGAAAATGGACTGTGATTGCTTTGCATAGTGATGTGATGCTCAGCTGTTCTTTGGTATCAGTGTCCTGATCATTGTCTTCAACAAAACAGCCCGCCAGAGGGGAAGAAATCAATGTGACTATTACTCCTCATCTTCCTCTGTTAGCTTGGGCTTTCCCAGACAGCAGCAGCATTGCCTGCTCCACTGAGCTACAGCAAATGTGATTTGTGTTTTGCCCCTATTCTTCAGCCTGAGTCCCCCTCTCTCAAGCCCAGTGTTGCCCACAGCAGGCTGGTGAGGGAAGGCTGATGGCGAAGGTGAAGTGCAACTATCTCAGGGTTCTCTTAACTACTGAAAAGAGGGGTCAGACTCAAGGTCGTATCAATGTTTGAATATAAGCCATTTGAAACAGGTGTTTTTCCTTAGCGATAAAAAATGAATCCCCAAGCTCAGGTATTTCTTACCTAGTGTCTCCAAGTACTGAAAGTGAACTACAGCACAGAGCTCAGGCATCACTAATCTGGCTCTTCAAGCCCTCAGACAAAATTTTTAACGTGGTTCCTTGCTAATCAGTTTTGTGCTGCTCCTTTGCACAGATGCATGTTTTGCTCTGTAGCTGAGGAAGGTACATAAAAGACATTGCGCTATGTTACTTCAGTTTGGACTCTTCACTTCCTCTTTTGTTTTTGCTTAGAAGCCTTTTGAGTCACCCAAGGCAGAATGTACTCCAGGAAATGGCTGTACATCTGCTGTACATCTAGAAGATTATCATCTTGACCTCGCAAGTCCGGCTGCTCCAGAGGCTGCAAACAAGGAGTCTACTAAGCCTTTAGATTCTCAGGAGCAAGAAAAACGGTTTCAGAATAAAGACCCTGATGAACCCTCTCCAGGAAAAGAGCACATCTCTAAAGAAAATGCCAATCAACCATTCCTACCACAGTATCTTTATGTTCAGCCTACTGCTGGTAAGGACAGCCATGAGATCTAGATGCACCCAGACTTCTGCATCTGTTCACTGAGCAAACAGGGAGACCTACAGATAGGTGACTAAGTCTGTATTTGGAACAAAAAACTGTCAGCAGTTCTCTGTAGTTGTTTAATACCTCTGAATTCTCTGGACTCCAGATGAACTGTTGCTTCTCTGAAAATACAGGCATCTTTCTGAGGTGCCCAAACATCAACAGAGATGAATAATGTGGGTTTTGCACGCTTGAATTTAGTGCAGCAAAAAAGACACCTATCGAATCTTGGAGGAGCTGGAAGTCCAGGTTTGGCAGTAAGGTGGCCAGAATAGTACAACAGCAGCCCCCTGGGTGGGTGAATTTAGTTATCTATGAACTCTGTACTGTCTTGTAAGATGCATCGTCGGGATAACCCCACAAACACTGGGACACTGGGAGTGTAGCCAAACCTGCTTGTAATACACAGTAGGGATGGAGAGGAAGCAGCTGAAAATACTACAAGAGTATTTTGTGTCTGACGTTTTTTGTGCCTGTGTTTTTGTGGAGTGGAAGACTCTTTTGTGGGGACAGGATACATGTGGCAGATTTCCATGACTACTGCTTTAGTATTTGATTTGTTTGTGGCACAGAGTGGGGTCTATGGGATTTCACTTATAGGATGGAGATGCTCAGTTTGAAAATGTTTATCCTGGTGTTTTGGAAGGTCAGATAAACTGGGAACCAGAGCAGCTTCTGTTTCAAAACAGTATTTCAGCTGTTCTCAGGAAAATGAGAAGGGTATATCTTTGTGGGTGTTTTCCATTTGTTGGGGGGGATGTTTCTCATTAAAAGCAGTGTATACATTTCGATATAGCAGAGGGTATGATTCCTGTTAGTGAGAAAAAGTTTGTTTAGCCAAGATGTTGCCTGTAACTGAAGTTAGAAGCAGAAAACAGCAAGGTGTGTGGTTGGTCCTTAATATGAACAAAATAAATGGATGCAGATACAGTGAACAGGCAGTAGAGGGGGAGATGGAGGAAGGTAAGGAAAGGGAACTTGACAGAAGTCACGGGTTTGTGGCAGTTTTCTTCCTTCTTTTTTCTTATTTTTGTCAGTTTACTTCCTGGGCAGCCTGTCTCTTTCTTCCTTGACATACCTCTTTCCTGTTCTAGATGAAGTTATAATAGCTTAATTCCAATTTGTAAACTGTATTAATGCTTTGCTTTTTCTCTCTTTTGGTTTAGGATTAAGCAGTTTTAATTTCCTGTTCTCTGCAAACCAAGCCCCTGGTGCCATCAGCCTGGCTGCAAACCAGTTACCTTCTCTGAGCGTCCCCTGTGTCGTGGTGCCATCAGCAGCCTTGGCTTCCTTCCCTGTCGTCTGTTCTCCCACAATCACCAGTCCTCTTTCCCCAGTTCCCGATGGCTCCTTCTCAACTGCCGCTTCCATGAATTTCAGTATGTCCAGCCTGGCGTCAACAACGCCTGTTTTCATAGGCACCACGGCAGTGGTCAGCCCCAAAGTCTCACCCACACCTTTGGTGGATCCCCAGCAACCAGCTCACACCTCTCTGCACCTGAGTCCCGTGCTTGCAAGATCTTGTGCTGCTGTTAAACTGGACTCCCCTGTGTGTATGGGGCATCCAGTGACCCTTCTGAAGCTGCAGCAGGTAAGAGTGAAAGGTGGTTGAGTGACAATGAAACAGCCGTGCTGATGTGTCAGACTGGTGAGCTGGTCACAATGGGAGCTGGTCTCTTCCACTTAGTTTGTGTGTCTGTCTGTAGTGGTGGCAGGGTTTGGGACAGTGTTAAAGACATAGCCCAGCATAGCACGTCTAGCCCTGAACAGTGAAGTGGTGAGTTTGAAAAATCTGACGGGAATTTTAAAATCATAAAAATCTTAATCTTTAAAAATCTTACAGGAATAGAGAAAAAAAATAGGTTACAGATTTTTTTCCCCCAGAAATCCAAGTCAGTATTTTTTCCCCATTTGACCCTATTGTTATGTGTTATCCAATGGCTACGGAGACACATTAGGAGGACAGGAGGATTGTTTGTCCTAATTCGGGAGTCGGCGGCTGCAGTACTTCCCAGGTAGTAGTGTCCTGGGTTACCTCCTCACCCCCGTTCTGATCTCTTTTGACTAAATAATGTAATAGCAGCATCAGAACAGGGGGAAAACAAGGATTCTTGTGGGTTTTGTTGATCTTTTTTACAAAGATATTTTTAAAAATCTACTATAGAAGCAGACTTTTTGAATAAAAAAATTAGAAATTCAAAAGTGAAGGACTTATTTATCTGAAGTACAATGAGTGACATAAAACAGTCAGGTCACACTGTGTTACCTGGGTCTTTACAACTATTAGCAGTGACATTTTGACACTACTTTAGCTTACATTCTTAAATCTGTGATTTGTTTTCCGATCATCTAATGCAGTGACAAATAGATTGAACTTTTGGAAGCTTTATAATGTTACTTTATCTTTTTCAAGCTTTAGAAAAAGGCTGTAATAGAGACTGGTTGGCAGCGAATGTGATTACAGATACTAACATTAGAGGTTACAGTGGAGTGGCACTTAAAAGAGAAATGATCGAGGTTTAGGAGACTAATTTTAGATCTATTTTGATTCTAACAAATAATGAAAGTGAGTAAAACATCAAGGAAGGGAAAGGACCATTTAAGCTAAAGGACAAGATTGGCATAAGAATGAATGAGTATGAACTAGTCATGAATACATTTAAGTTGGAAATGAAACAGAAGCTTTCAACTTCCAGCAATGATGTACTCACAGACAGATCCAGAACGAAAAGCAGGGGAAAAGCCCATAGCTTTTCATGTGGAGCTTCTGAAAGGATGTGTGATGTGATTCCCTATAGTAGCAGGGTACAGAACTTAATGTCTACAAGCTGTCTTCTGTTTGCGTGCTTGCATGTAGGCTTTGAGAAACCCGTACTGAATCACTTTCATTTTGTTTCACAAATAGCCTTCGTCAACTCCCCTCACTCCCAAGAGCATTCGTCCTGCATGTCATGAGGCGTTTTTCAAAACTCCCGGAAGCCTTGGAGACCCTGTTGCATGGAAGAAAAATGAAGGCAACCAGACCAGAAATGCCAGCTCTGTGCAGAGGAGACTGGAAATCTCTAGTACCAGCCCTGACTAACTCCACTTAGTGCAAAGGGTGGGGAGATTGTCCTAGAACCCTGTATCTATTACAAGAGAACAAGCTCTTACCTGACAACAGGAGCAAGTTAAAATGTCATCCCTTTTGGCATGCTTCCCCACTATCTATTCACTCACTGGTTCTGTTAACCACCTTCTTCACCAATCATCCTTGTTACTGAAAACCTTTTACTGAATTGTTCCCTCAGTGCTGATTTGAATTCAGATGCTCTGCTTCACATGGCCTTGTGGGCATCAAATTGTATTTGTGGTTTTAATTTGGAAAACTCTCTTTATCACTGTGAGGAGATGCAAACAGATTTTCTTGGAGTCCCTAGGGGTTCTTTATTCATGGTTTTAAGTGAGATGTCTAGCACTTATCTGGGGTAAGCTTTTTTTTTTGCATGTACTCTACTTACCCTGAGTAAATCTGTGGTGAAAATGATAAACTTTTGCAGTTGTGAGAGCAACTGCTTCCTTGGTTCCAATTTGTCAAATCCTGCCTCCACAGTGCAGCCTCTTGCTATTTATTTTGTACGTTGGAGTGGGATTTAGCAAAAAAAAAAAGGGTTTTTGCAGCTTCAGAATAACAGATTTTCTCAGGGTAGGATTACTTGAATGTCAGTTGGTTGTTGTACAATTTGCCCAGCACTTGTGGTTAGAAAAACCTAATAATAACTTAACACAATATGATTGAATGTATACATGTGAAAAATATTAAGACCAAAATAACTGTGAATGTTAACATTTTTATAATTGTGTTAATGAACTGTATTAGTCCTTGGGTTTTTTTTTCTTTTACTCTGAGCAAAATGTACAAGTTAGATATAAAGAATACAAAACCTGATTCCTTAAACAGGTTTGACAAAGTAATTTGAGAGTGACAAGCCACTGAGAGGGCTGTGCTAAGGTTTCATCTCCCATTTAAATATATAGTCTAGACTTTATGACCAAGGAACACTGCTAAGTCATTAACCACATGATTAGATTCAGTCTAACCTGAGTCTACTTAAGTGCCTACTTAGTGGTTTACTTAAGTCTACTTAAGGGGTATGTACTTAAGTGCCTAACTCTTCACTTACAGGAATTTTGTAACTAGTTAATAGTGCATTTGAGCGTACTTGGAAGACAAGAGAGATCTTATCTTTTGGCGTGTATCTATCTAAACCATAAAAAGAAGCTGAAAATAGCAGGAGCCATGAATTTTGGAAGTGGGAAAAAATTATCTGTATTCTTTAGGAGAAGATAAAGAGGAAGAAAAGTCTAACAGTTAACATTCACAGTCCTCAAATAATGGATGGTGCTATTAATAGTATAGGGCATAATTTTAAGAGTTAATGCTCTTACACTTGGGTATGTTTTCACTCATGTAGCAATCTGCAATTAAATTTGTGCAGTTTCGTGTTCAAAAGACAGAAAGTGTTGCTGTTGACATCACGTTACTCTGGGTTTTTAGCAAACATAAGGCCAGCATTGTCAGCTCTTCTTTCATTGGTACTGGTACTGGTTTTCCAAGGATAGATACACTGTTGGATGTGCTACTTGGTTGGTCAAGGGAGACTAGGACTTTGTTTGAGGGTTGGGGATCTGATGAGGGTTTTTATTTTTATAATGAAATGTATTATGAAAATGGAATTTAAGAAAGAATATTAGTGAAGCTGGAGTTTGAGTAATGTGGCCTTATCTTAGAATAGACCAATAACAGCCTTTTAAGGAGGGCTGGTTAGCCCTTGTTGAAAGAAAATCTATAGTAGAGTTATCATAGGATATTTCAGGGGTGATAAAGACAAATCTTCGGACTGCTGAATTTTAAGGTTTGTTTTGTTGGGTTTATTTTTAATTACACTACAGTTATGAAAGTTTACAATTTTTGCTTCTGAATTATTTCTTCTTATATGCCCACTTAAATTAATTTTGCTTTGAAAATCAATGTGTAATTGGCATGGTGCTGCCCCTGCACTTTTGCTAGCATGCATTTGTTGCTGTTGGGGCTGGAGACAGGCTGCTAGGGTTCAGGATGACATGGTGGGTGTCGATTCTCCGAACCTTGTCTTTTCTCTTCCCTTCTAGTATGGTGCAGCCTTTTAATGAAATGGCAGCTGGGAGCAGAGAGGAGGATTAGAGCTAATGGCTCTTCGCTCCAGTCGAAGCATCATCACAAAATTTGCCTTTCTTTGTCGGTAATGTTATTCTGTGCCATAACTAACCTAATGATACTTGAAAATGCAGGGACTGAAAATGGATCTTCAGTTTCCAATTTCTGCTTCCAGTTTTGTGTTTCCATAAATACAGCGGGTCTGGAAATGAGGATCGGCTCCCTCACAATCAAAACTGTTCAATGGGTCATAGTTGTGAAAGTAGATTTGGGCCTGGGAGGAGAACGGGATTGATGTGCTGTCTTGATTTTGTCAATGCAAAATTCTCACTAAAATAGGAGTGGGACCACCAAAGCAACCAGGCAGCGAAGGGATCAATGCTACTTGCAGTACCTGAGCTGCTGAACTAGACCAGTGAGGGGGAAGGGTTGGTTGTCAAGAGGGGATTGAGTTCACTGTTCCTATCTTTGTCTTCACTGAAAGCTAAGAAGTAAAATAAACTAGGAACAACTCATCAGCAAAGTAGCTTTGGAAAAGCAGGATTTGTATTTGCACTGAGGCGAAGTGCGTACCCAGGATGTTCTGCAGGGTTTGTGAAACCTTTCTGTCCCAAGACAGTTGCTGAGGAGGGTGAGCGTATAACTTATACTTGAATCTACCTGCCACGTTTACATTTCTGATTGTCTTTTGTAAATTGGTGCTATTTCTGTATTTAAAAAGCTGTATTTTTAATGTAAAGCTGCTTCCAGTTTGTATCTTTGCACTGCTAGTTTAATATAGACATTAATTTTATTGCTGTTTATAACTGTTCTTCATTGATTAGACATCCTGCTTTTCCTGCTCTCTAGCTATCTTTTTAGCTGTCTGCATATAGCTTTGCTCCAATCACACTGTTGGGTTGAATTTATTTTTTTTATACTATCTTTTAGCAAAATATTAAACTTTTACAGAATAAAAATGGAATTAAACCTGAGGCTGAGGCTGTGATTTCAGTATGGAGAGGACCATTGAAAAGAAACATCCCTCCTCCGTGCATCCAGGTGAGCAGTCCCTGTTGGATGTGAGCACCAAATGAGTTAGCAGAGGACAACAGCTTGCCCCAGCAGCTCTCACCTCCGGCTATTTTACACAGCACAGGCATGATTCCCTTTCCAGCTGTTGCAGGCACAAGGACTGCTGCAATGCAAACTGGCTCTTAAAGTCCTGGAGCTGACCAAGGGAACACCCGATGGCCCTGGCCCAAAACGATACGAGGTTGGACTTGATGATCTTTGAGGTCTCTTCCAACCATTATGATTCTATGAGGTGATCCTCAGCCCAACCACCATGGGGGCCGGTCCCACCACCACCATGGGGCCTGCCCTGGGCACTCCACGGCCCCGCCGCTGTCCCTCGGCTCGGCTCTCCACGGGATGGCAGCAATGCCTGCCCCACCGCCAGCGACGGGCACCCAAGGGGAAGGCAGGCCCTGATGCAGAGGCTGGTTTCCCACAGGCGGAAGCCGGCATTTGCTTGTGCGTGCTTATTAACCACCAACCGCTCGTAAAAAACAGAAGTGGAGAATGTGGCCATAGCCCCGTTTCTCTTCCCCTTTCCTAATCATGCACACACACACAAGACACAGCTTGACCCAAACCTGAGTTTGCTCCCATTAAAATCAATAGCAGGTTCACTATTGATTTCAGCAAGCCCAGTATCACCCCCTTCCCCCCTGTAATTAGAGAGATGTGAGTTAATGTCCCATGTCGCCAACAACGGCTGCAAAATGCCTGAGCTGCGACTGGCTGAGTTCTTCAAAACTTGTTTCTAAAAAGAAAACTCAGCAGCTCACTCAATATTGGTTTGGGTTTTTTTTGACCTGTGACTCCACCAATAATAACTTTTCCTTTCAGCTGACAGAGGAAGGACGTCAAGTTTAATAAGATTAAATATGGTATGAGAAGCATTGACAAGCCCTAACCCTGCTTCAGCTCCACTGGCAGAACCATGGCTATCATTTCCTTATGGAGGAGCAGGGCTGTAGCTTCTAGCAGTTCTTGCCCTCACTGGTGCACTTAAAACTTACTTTTGAAGTAAAAAATAATTAGAGGGGAACATCAAACTCTTTCTGATTTAGTTCTCTCTATAAAAAGGGAAAATTAAAAGCAATGCCATTGTGGATTAACATCTTCATGCCCTATAGCCTGGGCTGGGCAGCCCAAAGCCAGCTGAGAAATAAAAATAACCCTAGGAAGGTGTTGAACGCTGCCAACAAACCTGGTCAGAGGTTTGCAAAAGCAAAAGCGAAGCCTCCGCCGGGCGGCAAAGCAGAGCCTGTTCCCACCACGTCCAGGGAAGCAGGTCTTCAGCAACCATCCTGGTCAACAAGGAGGTTTCCTGAGAGGTGCTTGGGTCACAGCAATGCTTTCTCCTTTCAGCCCAGACAGTTCCTGAGCAAGGCTCCAAGGCCTGCATCATAATTTAAAATTGAAAAGCTCAAGATGTAACTGGGTGGAAAGAAAGGCTTCATACACGAATGAGGCAAATTTAAGCCATGCTGAGTGTGATCCTCTGGGAAGATCCATGTGGGCAGTAAGCGTTAACGTCCAGATTCTTTCCAAATTCATTTATTACACCAGAAATGCAATGAGAATTCAGGATATTTTTTCAAGTGCTTTCTCCAAGGCCTCCTGGGGCGATGAAATTAATCCTAATCGTGTCAGTCAGCGCCAGCTTAAGGTCCAAGAGCCTGAAGCCTTCCCCCGCTCCCCTCGGAGGGCACAGCGACTTTACTGTTGAGTGGGCAAAAGGCTGCATTGCTGGTTTGCAAAATGCCGTGACCTCCAAGTCTGATATCACAGGACCTCCCAGGGGATGAAAAGGTCTGCCTCAGTCAGAGCTCCCTCCATTTTTCTCCATTTTCCAA